CCAGTATAAGTGCTCTTCTCTCATCTACACACCAGTCATCGTTTTTCTAGAGAGAGAAACCTAGAGTCTTTGTAGAGCAGAAAAAGAAGACCTTTTAAAAAGAATCTCTCTGTCTCTGTCTTTCTAATATGCACACATTGTGTGTATTATTTTTTAATAAACACACAAGATTAGGTAGTCTCTAATGTCAAATTGCAAATAATGTCTTCCTCTTCCCTTGCTGACTGACTCTTGTCAAACCAGATAATACTCTTACAACTACAACTGTGGCAGCTGTATGCAACAACCACAGGTCAATTTCTCTAGCTTATTTCTGCAGGGCATTTACCTAGAGTCCACTACGTATTTCTTTAATGTATTTTTTTTTCCTTGCAGGTGCTATATAAATTGACTTGGTATGGAATCTTATACACTGTATACTTGTAATTTTGCTATGCAAATTCTAAGAGTGGGTACAAAAAATTGCATTCCTGTTATAGCTTTTAATTTTAATGGTGAAAAGTGACCTTAAGCACTATATAACTATACATTCCTACAGATCTTTCCATTTTTATACCATTTAGTAAGTTTCTTCTAGTAATTGTGAAATATCTCTGCTAAATTAGTGCTCGTATAACTTTCTATAGATTGCAGTTTACCATTTTAAAAGGACAATTTCTTATGCCCAGAGACCTTTTTCATCATCTTATACTAGTAGTAAGCTATTTTGTGATGGTGAAGACAGTAAAAATTAGATGATTAGTCCAATTTGCAGGTATTTGAATTGGCATAGATTTGGATCCTTCATGTTTTCCATTAATAATTAAATACAGAGGCAGTTTTGGCAGGTGGGAAATGTGCTGCCCAGAGCTGCTCCTGGTCTGGCTCCTGGTCCTGGCTAGAGCTACTGCTTCTGTTGGAAAAGTGAGATGTAATTCTGAAGGGGTTTACCTAGTGTAACTGGAGGCAGTTCCTGCCTGGCCTAACTAGGATGGCCTCTGTGCCCTGGCTCACTTCAAAAGAGTTCCCATTGAAGTGGCAGCTAGGACTAGGAGCTACTCCACCACCTGGGAGAGCTGTCAGGGGTGAATGGCTAACATCTGTTTGGTTTCTAGTTTGTTTTCCAAGATGATTTGAACTGTTCTTATCTCATACCATATCTTGGTTTCTATATGTTGTTCATTTGTTATTGCAGTATGTTCATTCTCAATCTTCTCTCAATAGTTGTTGTTCATATATTTCCTCGAAATGATCAATAAAAATTCAGAAAACTAATTGGCATGTTGGCTTCTGCTAGAAATGTAATATTATATGTTTACCATTATAATGTAGCTTCCAAAGTACATAAATATTTACTGGTTACAGAAAAATACCAAGGGCTGCTAAATCCAACATATCAAATGAAGTCTTTGTTATTTGTTTCTCATTGCTAACAGATATTCAAGAGTTTTATGAAGTGACATTGCTAAACTCCCAAAAAAGCTGTGAGCAAAAAACAGAAGAAGCAAATCAAGTTGCAGAGAAATGGGAGAAGACAAAATCTTCTGCCACAGGCCATGGGAGTCTGCAGAAAAACCAAGAGGTACCATAATAGATGAATAGTTACAAGTATATATAGTGAAATAGATGGCTCAGGTGTTGGAAAATGTCATGTGGTGGCTTTGTAATGCAGGAAGGGTGGCTTTGTGGTTGAGATACTACACTGAAACTGAAAAGGAGATCTGCCTTCAATTCCTGACTCTGACACAGACATTCTCTGTGACTTTGCACAAGTCACTTAATCTCAGTGTGCTTCAGCTCCCCATCTGTGAAATGGGGAGTGCAGTGCTTCCTTTTCTCTACCCTTTGTCTGTCTTGTTTGCTATTTTGTGTTTGATTATATCACTGTCAAGTGGGCGAATAGGAGAATAAGGGACCTACTACTACTCATAAAGGGTGAACCCCTTTAGCTCATGTGCTAGTGGCCTGTGTTGTTTGAATGTGAAAGACCACCGTTCCAGTCTCAGCCCTGTAAGAGCATGTAAGAATTGTCTAAAAGTTGCTACCAAAACTTTCATACACATGTGCCTAAAATTAAACCTGATCTTTTTGAGGTGTTTGGAACCCACAACTCCCACTGAACTCAAGCTCAGCCCTTGGAATATCAAGAACCATAGATGAAAAAATCTAGATACCAAAGTCTCAGCTGGTGGAAGGATTTGAAGCTATTCTTTACTATGCCTGGTTCAAATCTGTCCCTGGTCAATAGTGACCAAAAACTGCTAGGCAGCCTATGTGAACTAAACTGATAGTTATTTTCCTGGTGGACTCTACCACAAAAACTAGTGAATTATTTTCACCTCAGCAGAAAGGCCAAGGATTGAGTAGACATGGAGTGCAAACTACTCTGTCTTATCTCCAGGCCAAGATCAAGGCAAAGGACACTGGGTAGACATTTGCATTGTCACAGTATAAACTGAGGAGAAAGAGAAGATTTTAGTTTCCAACGCTGTCAATCCAGCACCTCCCATGAGCTGCAAATTCACTTGTAAGAGCAAATCTGAAATAAAATAAAAACTCAGAAACATATCACACTTCCGCATGGCATTTCTTATAGGATTGTTCCAAAAGCTAGGTTGGAACTATAGATGGCTAACAGGATCTCTAAAGGAATAAAAAATTTGATTGTAGAAATTAATTAGGGAAAAAAGCATTCAGAATTAATGAAAGACGCATTCAGATTTTGAGCAAAACCACAGCAAATGAAACTAAACATTAAGTCAGGACATTTTCCATGAATGATTTAACACTAGAATCCCAGATGAAGATACAGTTGGCTAACCTTGCTAATCTAATAATTTCTGACATGAAACTATACCACTTAAAGACGTGTATGTGAATTAGCTTTCAGTTTATTATCCTTTGAAGTATCTGGCAAAGACAGTGGACTGCACTCTCTTCTTTCTCCCTGACCTGGTGAAAGTATTTGACTGGCTGCCCCATCTTTCTGAAGCTTCTTTTCTCTAAGGGATAAGCTATCAGGCTAGAACGAGGAAATGTAGCCCTAACATTCACGTTAATGTTAATGGTAGATGTAGGATATGGCAAAATCCAAGTATATCAATGCTGAAAATTATGTACTAATTTACAAACAAACAAGCAAACAAACAAAAATTGGTCCAAAGATTTCAAACCTGCGTGCCTAAAGCTAGGCTGTTAAGTAAAACGACTAATTTTCAGAGCATCCACAAATTCCACTGAAGTCAATGAGAGAAAGAGGCACTCAGCACCTTTGAAAATCAGGCCTAAAAACAGATTTAGGGATTTATTATTTGGCACCCAGGATTGAAAAGTCAGGCCTTTGCTTTTCTTTAACAATTGTTAGTACCTGTTAGTAAATATTAACCCTTTGAGTCCTCTTTTTCATGTATATTAATTTACATATGAACTATTCTCCCAAAATCTTTATGATATTAGCAAAGAGTGTGTTTGAATTCTAAGTCCCAGAGCATTGGTTCTGTGAGTGACTTGTATTCAGGAATTTTATATGACTGAGTATTGGGCTGTATCTAATTATCCTCAGCATCATCAGGACATGGGAACCCAGGTGTCCAGGGAAAAGACCCCTTCAGACTACTAAAAGTGTCAATAGAAATATGTTATAAACAAAGGTGGGTGGTTGATAAGGGATATTTGTTATGGCAGATGTTTTCTGTTTTGAACTGGGTGATCGATAAAGAATATTTGTTATTACAGATGGATATAATAGAATGGAATAATGACCCCACTGAAAGGTGTTTTTAACTCATTAAGAACTGTTGGTTGTCACAGCTGTAAGTAATGATGACTGGGTTAGAGATTCCTTTTTACTCATCAGTCAGATAAACTGAGTACCATAAAAGAAATTCCATCAGTAACTGGGAAAACAGAACACATGATAAAATCAATCGCGGAAAAATATTTTCCCTCCAAAAAGAAGTTTCTTGGTCTTATATCCTATAAAAGGACAGGGGTTTGAGGAGGTAGACTGTGAATGAACACTGTTAACATTCCACCAAGTACAGAAGAAGGGACCAAGCTACCTTCTCTTCACCATCTACAGGAGATGGTAAAGTATGTCTTCTTCCTATATTCTGTATAGTGCTGTATTAATCTTTAATTTAAAAAATTCATTTGAGCCTGTTATTTGACAATCTTGAATTATTAAATCCACACATGCAACACAATAATATGTAGCATCAACATTACAAAACTTTAAAATCTGACCATATAAATACATGCAGAATTTACCTGTTAGAGAATATATGTAGAACACTGCTTTCTATAAGAAATTAAATCTATCAAAAATAATCCCATAAAAAAAATCATACAAATATCAATCCATGACTTATTCCTTTTGAAGATAGCATTTTGTTCTTTCATTTCCTCCATCCTCGCTAACAGATCCCAAGCCTGGAAAGAAATATGTCTGCTCCTTTTCATAGGCCTGGTCTACACTACAAACTTAAGTCGACATAAGCTGCATGCAGTCGATCTAATAATGTATGTGTCTACATTACCGAGTCCCTTCCACTGACATAAGTGGCCTGAAAAGTCGACTTCTGAACTCCAACTCCGCGAGAGGCATAGCGCTTGATTCAACATACACGGGTTGACATGGGGATAGTGTATACACTGTGTTGTGTAATTTGAATGAATTGACCTCCTGGAGGTGTCCCACAGTGCTCCTCTGTGACTGCTCTGGAGAGCACTTTCAACTCCACTGTACTTCAGCCAGGTACACAGGAAACAGCCACCCCCCTGTTAAAGTCCTGGGAACTTTTGAATTTTCATTTCCTGTTTGATCAGCATGGAGAGCTCGCCATCACAGCTGATCATGGAGACCCAAGGCTGCAAACGCGCTCCAGCATGGAGCATACAGGAGACACTGGATCTTATTGCTCTCTGGGGAGAAGAGTCTGTGCAGGCAGAGCTCCAATACAGCAGAAGAAATGCTGACATCTATGCCAAGATCACGCAGGGCATGGGGGAGAAGGGCTACACCAGGAACACGCAGCAGTGCCACATGAAAATAAAGGAGCTTCGGCAAGCGTACCAGAAGACAAGGGAGGTGAACAGTCATTCTGGTTCTGCCCCACAGACATGCCTCTTTTATGAGGATCTGCATGCGATTCTTGGCGACGACCCCACCACTACCCTAAAATGCTCCATGGATATCTCCCAGGAGTGCTGGGCGACCTTGAGCAACAACGAGGAGGACATTGTTGACGAGGAGGAGAATGTGAGGCAGGCAAGCAGAGGATCCATTCTCCCTGACAGCCAAGAACTGTTTTTAACCCTGGAGCCCATCCCTTCACAGGACCAGTTGGCGGTGGAGTGTGATGCTACAGAAGGCACCTCTGGTGAGTGTACATTTCCATTCAAACTGTAGGAGTTACATGTTATTATTTTTTATGTTTAATTGGAACAAAAAAGTAGGTGTAGTGCAGTGGTGGGCAACCTGTGACCTGCGGGCTGCACACAGCACATTAGGGTAATTCACTGGTGGGCTATGAGACAGTGTTTACACTGACGGTCCGCAGGCACGGCCACCCAGAGCTCCCAGTGGCCGTGGTTCACCGTTCCCGGCCAATGGGAGCTGCAGGAAGTGGCGTGGGCTGGCGGTTGTGATTATGGTTGTGATTATGTTGTGGCTTGCAGTGAAGTGTGTTGAGGGGTGATTTAAAAAAAAAATCAACCTTGCACCAGAAACAATGTATGCACTGTCAATGCTATCCTTGTACTTTGCATTCCTTGCAGCTGAAACCTTGTCCATCAGCACATCCTCCACACCGGGACAGAGACTTTCCCAGATTAGAAGGTGGAAAAAGAAGTCTCAGGAGGACGTGTTCAGTGAGTTAATGCGTGTCTCCGAGAGTGACAAGACAGAGCTCAGAGCATGGAGGATTACACTGTCCAAGAACCTGGACATGGACAGGGAGGACAGGAGAGCATTCAGGGAACAAGAGCGTGCCACGCAAGAAGAGATGCTGCAGCTTATGAAGGAGCAATCAGACATGTTGAGGCATCTGGTTGAGGTTCAAGAAAGGCAGCTGGATACTGGAGTCCCCCTGCAGCCTATGCTGAACCTGCTGCTATCATCACCCAGTTCTACATCCTCCTTCCCCAAACATCCTCTGAGGCGGGGAGTGGGGGAGGGGAGATCCGTATCCCTTGCACTCAACACCAGGGGAGGGTACAAGGACCAGAAGGCACCTTTGATTGCTACTGCAGTGCATCTGTAAGCAAGCTTTCCTTGTTTCTTCCCCCACATTGTTATCAGTCCTTTTGCCCCAGGTTATCTTTCTTTTCTTTGCTGTCTCTGTGTGTATGTGTGCATAATAAAACGTAATGGACTGAGGAGAAAAGGCTCTTTATTCATTCAACACATGGTGGTTGGTGAGGGTGGAGTTTACAGGGCGAAAATGCAATGGCGGGGACAGTTTGGTAAGGAACAACACAGATAAGAGTCACATTACTCTGGCTCATTGCTGAAACTGGTTTGCAAAGCCTCACGGAGACGCATAGCCCCTCAATGTGCTCTTCTTATTGCCCTGGTATCTGGCTGCTCAAAATTGGCTGCCAGGCAATCTGCCTCAACCCCCCACCACCGCAAAAACTTTTCTCTCTGTTTCACAGATATTATGGAGCACATAGCAGGCAGCAATAACAATGGGGATATTACTTTCACTGAGGTCTAACCTAGTAAGCAAACAACATCAGCGACCTTTCAAATGTCCAAAGGCATATTCCACCATCATTCTGCACTTGCTTAGCCTATGGTTGAGCCAGTCCTTACTGCTGTCCAGGCTGCCGGTGTACAGCTTCATGAGCCATGGGAGCCAGGTGTAGGCTGGGTCTCCCAGGATTCCGATTGGCATTTCAATATCACCAATAGTTATTTTGCAGTCTGGAAAGAAAGTCCTTGCTTGCAACTTTCTGAACAGACCTGCACTTCAGGGCTGGGGAAAGCTCTTCACACAGTTCTTGGAAAGTGGCCTTACGCAGTTGAAAGTTCTGCAGCCACTGCTCGTCATCCCATAGCTGCATAACAATGTGGTCTGACCAGTCGGTGTTTGTTTTCTGGGCCCAGAAACGGCACTCAACCGTGTCAAGTTAATGTGTGACTGTTTGTCCATTAAGCACCAAGTGGTAGCTTGACACTGTATAAATAATCATTGCATTGTTCATGGTGTGTTTGGCTATTTACAGTATATGAGATAGCATTGGATGTTCATTGAATGGCTGTCTATTTGTCTTCCACTCTTGGGGTTTGCACACCCTGTGTTCAGAATATTTTCCTAGCTAGCTGTCACTTGTTGGTCTGCACATGCTCACTGAATGCTCTCATACTCCCCACTCTAAACCCCCTCCCCCCCCCGAGGGCATAAAGGGGCAGGAAGGACCAACCACCTCTCAGTTCCTTCAACCACAGCCTTAAGCTGTAGAAGGAAACTTTAGCAGTCCCTTACTCCTGATTTAAACATTACTGTCTAGGTTAGGGGCATATTCCTAGTGAATGTGCTATATGCTGTTCATTTGGCAAACAGTTTCCAAAGAACAGAGATATTAAATTCAAGATGTAGCTCCTGGATAGATGCATGAGACCTGACTCAGATCCTGGTGAGTCCCATCAGTTTGTCTCCAATGTCCTCTCTACTAGTAGTGTTCCTGAAGCAGTTAAAAGATCTTCGCCTGAAAAGGGAGACATCTCATTTTCCAGGTGTAATGAAGTTACCTGTGGCGGGACACTACTGAGAGTATCACTTCAGGACAAATTGCTTGGAACAGGGCAGTCACAGCCCAAGGCTGGGGTTTCTTTTTGTTATTAAGGCACACCAAACCAGCCAAACAGAGAGGACTTCGGTTTTACCCCACTGGCTAACCAGTTCAGTTCCTGTTAGATCTAGAGGCTATGGAGGTTTCCATTCAATCCAAAAGAAAAGGTTTCCATTCTCATTTTTTCCTTTTGCCAAAGTAAAAAGGGGGATGGAGAGCCATTCCAGTTTTGAGACAACTTAACTCTTTTTATCTAGAAACAAAAGTTCAGAATGATGACTCTCACTACCAGTACAAATTGTTGCCTTTCAGATTGGTTTTGGCTCCAAGGGTTTTCACTAAGTGTCTGGCCCAAGTGGTGGTGTTCCTCAGAAGATACAACATCAAAATATATCCATATTTAGATGATTTGCTTCAGGGCTGTTCACAAAAGCAAGTAATGGATCACATCTTCTTCACTCTGAGCCTTATCTTGAACCTAGGTCTAAGAGTCAATGTGAAGAAATCAAACTTAATTCCATCTCAAAAGGTGGAATTTATAGGAGATTTGATAGATTCCAAGTCAGTGTCAGTATTTCGTCCTCCAAATAGGTTTGAGAAGTTGGTGAATATCATCCGTCAAGTGAAAAGAAACTATATAAAAACTGTCAGAATGTGTATGAGACTGTTAGGGCACATGGCATAATGCATATTTGTCACTCCTCAATCCAGACTGCAGCTTTGTCCTCTCCAATCATGACTGAAGATCATATGCAGTCTGTTGACCCAAAGTATGAACATGACTATCAGAGATCCTCAACAAGTTCTAATGTCTTTGATTCTAAGACAGTGAATGAAGCTCATACAAGGCTCTGCTTCCATGACTGTCATTGCACCAGCATAAACCAGTCAGTAGTGGTCTCCCGAGCTGATCGGATTGTTGATATGAAAACCCATCACCCTTCCTCTGATTCCCAACTTGATATCACAGCACAACAGGACAGTGTTTCATCTGGACTTGACATCCTGACATCTGATAGCCTGGATGTAAGCTGCTTGAATGAGACTGAAAAGTCCTGTTGTCAGGCAGTTCAGGACATTTTACTAAATTGTAGAAAACTTTCCACTAGGGCTACTTACAGCTCTAAATGGAGGAGATGTGATGCTTGGTCCTGAGATCATAATATTTTCCCCCTTTGAGACCAATATACCTCTCATATTAGAAACCTCCTCTGGTTTAAATCCTCTGGGTTATTTAATTCTATTAAAGTATATTTAGCTTCAATATCCCATAGTTAAAAGTTTCCTTGAGGGTCTACTTCAAGTACTTCCACGAGTAAAGGACTCACCTCCACAGGGGATCTGAATATTTTATTGTCAGGTTTAATGAAAACTCTATTTAGCCTTTAGCTAACTGGCCATGGACATTCATCTGTCCATGAAAACAGTGGTTTTGTAGCAATTACTTCTGCACGTAGAGTGGGTGAAATTAATGCATTGATGTAGAGTCCTCCCTATGCGATTTTTCATAGGAATAAGATTTCATTAAGGCCTCATCAGAGTTTTCTGCCAAAGATGGTGTTTGAGTTTCATGTTAACCAGTCCATTTTTGCCAATATTTTGTCCAATATCTCACACTAATGGAGGAAAGAAAAAGAACTCAGCATACTTTAGATGTAGCTATAGCTTTAGCCATTATCTGAATAGAACTAAATTATTTTTGGCACATGCTGAGAGGGTTAAAGGTAAACAGATTTCTTCTCAAACACTTTCAAATTGGATTTTGAGATGTATTAATTTGTGTTATCAGTTTGTAGGTTGGGATCCTCTGTCAGTAGTTAGGGTGCATTCTACAAGTTCTCAAGCTTCTCACATTGCTTCTTTTAATAATGGCTCAGTTTTGAAAATATGAAAGGTGGCCACATATGTTTATATTTTCATGAAACATTATGCAATTGGTCAGGCAATGAGGGAGGGTGCAACCTTTGGGAGAGCAGTACATAGATCTGTCTTGATGTAAGGCCCACCTCCATCTGTTAACTGCTCTTCAGTTTCCAAGAGTGGAAGACTTCTAGACAGCCACTCAATGGAAAAAAAGAGATTACTTACCTTGTAGTAACTGATGCTTTTCAAATGTGTTGACTGTAAGTATTCCACGACCCACCTTCCTTCTCCACTATTCTAAGTCCTTACAAGACTTCAGCTGGTGAAGAAGCTGAGAGGCAGTTGGTTCGCCCTATCCCTTTATGCCCTCAGAAAGTGGGAAGTATGAGGGCATTCAGTGGACATGTGCAGAACAACAGGGTACTGATAGCTAGGACAAAGTTCTAATCTGTGGCGCTAAGGGGCATACAATACCCAAGAGTGGAAGACATATAGACAACACATCTCAAAGAAGATCAGTTACTACAAGTAAATAACCTCTTTTTCCAGGTATGAAATGCAAGTTTTGCTAGCATCACATTATTGTTGCATTGTACCCTGTATGAAAACTACTTATGAGAGCTGATATATCTTGCACTGCTGTAAATACTGTAGATTTAAATAATTTCAGCAGTATCAGATCTGCATAGAATCTTTCAAATTTCGCTGGAATGTTTTGGGTCATATTTTTTAAATGTATATTTTGAGTAATATAGGAAGAAGGGTCTGTTGATGTGTCACACTACCCCTGTAGCAAACCATCTGCTATGGATGATGAGACAATCCCAAATGAGAGAGTTATTTAGGGGCTAATCTGAAAGGTATTAGATTTTTCTTAAAAAAACTTAATTGAAAGTAATATGAAATAACAAGATAAAGCTAGAAAGAAAAAATAGATGTAGGGTATAGCCTGTACAACTGATTTTTCTGCTTTTCTATTGAAACAGGAAACTGGGCACTTCTTACCATGGGAGTGTGTGTTTTGTTTTGTCTTGTCATGAGTTTCCCCTAGAACAAGGTGATGGCAGCAGAATTTGCTGTAGATGTGATTATTGCTGATATGAAGGAGCTATTTCTTATAAGCTTACACAGCAACCTAGTTGGTGGGAATGTAGCGTTGACAAAAATGAATGGAGAATTCGGAGACGGTAGATCTGGGTGTAGGAAAGCGCTTCATGTTCATCAATGTATTTTAGCATCTGCTTAATTTATCGTATATATTAAACGGGCTTCTGAATTCATTAGCCTTCCTCCCCTCACTCATTTTAAATGAGTCTGTGACCCACAATTCTATGCTATAGTTATAGTGTGAGATAATATGAGCACATCACCTCAAATCCTTGCTTCCAATGAAAAACCCAGTCTGTGGAGAGAGAAAATATTTATTTTGCCTAGACTTGTTGAAGGAACAGAAATGGAGACCGTGTAGAGTCAAGCACAAGGGTTTATTACACACAGCATTGGCGGAGTGCCACTTTGCTTATTAGGCTCAGAGACACCTCTAAACAATTAATTACAATAGATTATATAGGGGGTTCATGGGCGGAGAGAAGCGATGGAGTGGGAGTTCCCGAGCCCCTGGATAGGTTCTAGCAGCAAGACAAGATTAGCACAATAAGCCAATAGTCTAAAAGATTATATAATGGGTTCGCCCATGGCTCGGTTAACAT